GTCGAGCTGTCTGGCAACACAATTCAGAACCTGGAGACACAGGCCTGGGCAGATAGGTATAGGAAGGATGATATGGCTTGGGACTGACAGACAAGATACAAGTCTGTACTGCACAGCTAAATGGCTTTGAAGAAATCACTTCTTAGGCTAGGTGGTAGTGGCACGCGCCTTTAATCCCAAGCAGAGGTAGGTGGAAGGTGGATCTCTGTGAGTTCAAGGCCAGCCTGGTCTACAAGAGCTAGTTCCGGGACAGGCTCCAAAACTACAGAGAAAGCCTGTCTCGGGGGAAAAAAAGAGAGAGAGAGAGAGAGAGAGAGAGAGAGAGAGAGAGAGAGAGAGAGAGAGAGAGAGGAAAGAAATCTTTACTTCTTTCCCCTTTTTGAGATGGAGCTGTACCTCTTAGGAGTACTGGGAAGGCTGGAGACCCAGCAAGAGTGTGGCTGAGGCCATGGGGTTGACCCTGGTGGGCCAAGAGGGAAAGAAACAGCTCCAAGCAGCCCAGATTTCACAGTGCTCTAAGCCTCTCCAGGATCTGCTCTGGAGGGACTGACACCCACCCCCACCCCCATCCCGGCACTTGCAGGCTTGCTGAGAAGCAAGAACTCCCTCTTCGGTGGCTTCCCTGGACGCCCACCAGTGGAGCCGCATACCTGACCAGTCCCAGCTCAGGCTGCTTATGGTGTGTGCCAGGGAAGCAGGGCAGGAAGATACAGCCTCAGAAGGACAAGTCTACTGCTCTAGTTCCTGCCCTTGGCTTTTCTGAGCCTGTGGGATCCAGGAGGCCTTCCCAGCCACCTCAGTATGGGAAGGAAAATTAATGAAAATTAACGGCGGGGTCCCGAGCTGCAGCTCCCTTGGTAGAGCACTTGTGTGGCTTGTACAACACCCTGGGTTCCGTCCTCAGCACCCGTAAACTGGGAACGGTGACACAGACTTGCAACCCCAGCTTTCGGAAGCAGAGGCAGAAGTATCAGAAGTTGAACCCCTTGAGGAACCCTTGCAGATGGGTTAACCAGGGAGCGAGGTGTCTGCAGTGGGGTGACAATCCAGAGGAACTGCCAGGAGAGGAGAGCTAGAGAGGAAAACGAGGTTCCCAGGGCATGCTGGGAAGTAGACACCCTTAGGCTGCTAGAGGGAAGGCAGGGAAAGAGCCGAGCAGCAAGCAGTCCTGAGCAGGGGACCAGGTGACTCTCAGTCCCCTCACTAGATCCCAGGATCCATGTGTGACTTGGGGCAGATCATGGCACCTCTGTGAAATGGGCTTTGAGTGGAATCAAGACCATAGGATCTCAGTGAGGACAAATGAGATCCGTCACGGGTTGGGCACAGAGTGCATGTGTGAGAACATTTCAGGCTCCGAGGCAGATAATGGCCTCTGGCCTCTATGATTCTGGTCCTATTGAAAAGAAAGGAAGTTAAGTATCTACAGGTTACTAGGCACCAGCAGGGTGCCTTTGAGATCATGGTCATGCAAGTGGTGACCACAACAACGTGGTACCATGGCCTGTGGCACCAGGGTGCCTACCAGTGGTCCAGCACAGAGCGAGTGTGCTGGGAGGTGACAGCAAGTGCCCAGCCCAGCTGCCCGTGGTGTCGCCACTCAATTGACTCTACTTTGTTTGGTACTTGAAACTCAGGTGAAGCCACTTCTCCCCTGTGAAAGGCTTCAGAGACACACAGTGTCCCCTAGTGTCCTGGGCCTGTGACCAGGGCCAGCCTGGCACTTGAGACATTTGGCCCTGGAAATACCATCCAAGCAGCCCTGTCTGCCCAAGGGCCCAAGGGCAGACTGGACAGGTGAAGGGCTGGTGAGGACGGGCTGCTCCGTGCGGAAGCAGCCAGCCACAGTCGCCTTCTTTGGTGGTTGTCACAGGAGACTGGCCACCGGCCCTACAGCCAGGCATGGTGTTGATAGGTCCCCACAGCTGCGGCCACACATGTGCCCAGCCATCAGTCTTCGGACAGTTGGGGGATGGGAGGGGCTGAGCGCCGGCAGGAGGTGGGGCCAGAGGCCACAGCTGGGGGACAGCAGGTGCCGCAGCCTGGGTGGCTACTGTGTGCCATCTGCTCCCATTCCGCCCCTCCTCATGGGCCCAGAAAGATGGGGGCTTCTTGCCTGCTCCTTGCAGACTCAGACACAAGCCAGCACAGGCCGCTGGGCTTGTCTAAAGTGTCTCTGAGCTTCTCTCCCTCTGCAGACCAGGGAGGGACTTAGATGAGATCTGCCACCTGGTAGGTATCACTTACGGATCATCGGCCACAGAAGCTGGGCCACCTGGACTTATATGTGTCTGCCAACGATGGGACCCTGAAATGGGGTGCAAGGTTAAGGGGTGATGCCCACAGTTGCCATGATGATGGCCAAGAGACAAGGAGTTCTGAATGTTTTGACACAGTCTGCCCGCCCTTCCCGTGGGAGACCCTGTGGGTATGATCAGAACATGGCCTGCAGGCAGTCACTGGGGCAGAGATGTCAGCCTTCTGCCTATAGCAGACAGGAGTCTCCCCTTGCTGGCTCTGGAGAGCTGGTCACATGGCAAAAAAGCAACTTACACAGGTCCGCCTACCCTACCCGACCATTCCTTAAGATGAAAGGGAAGTCCCAGGACTCACCATCCCCTGCAAAGGATGCCTAAGCAAGGCCTGCCCCTTGGGCTTCGGCTCACCCCATGCCTCGGCTTCATGGTCGTATTCTAGAGCCCTTGGCTATCCAGGATCCACCTGACCATCGTCACCGCCTTACCTTCTTCCTCCTCATCTGGCCCTGAGCTGAGCACCTTCTGAGAGTTAGGTCACTGGGACATGCTTGAGCCTGGACGTCCTAAGCCTGTGGCTCACATTTCAGGGGCCAGGCTCCTAGCATCCTGACATCCACGAGCCTCCTGTAGGAGTCCCAAGGACCACAGGGCAGGAGATGGTTAAGATGCTGGTTCCACACCCTGAAGCCAGTTCACCTGTCCCCCTGCACAGGTCCTAAAGGAGACTATCTGAGCTCTGAAAATCTGGGGTCATCACTCGCCATGTATCTTACAAATGGGGATACTCAGGCCAGGAGCGTGAAAACCTGCATTGTGGACTTGCACAGACTAGTCCTGATGAGCCCACCTTTGGCCTGACTTCGTGTTTCACCTGTACATGGACGCTAGCCACCTGTGAGAGCACGTGTGTCTCCCACTGGATGGGTGGAGTCAGGAGTCCACCTGGCCAGTGGATGCTCAGGCCCCTGCCCAGGTGCTGGCTAGCCAGCTCTGCCCTCCCTCAGCTGCTTGATATCTCTCTCTCTCTCTCTCTCTCTCTCTCTCTCTCTCTCTCTCTCTCTCTCTCTCCCTCCCCCCCCCCCCCCCCCCCCCCCCCCCCCCCTCTCCTTAGCTGACAGAAAGGAGAAGACTGCAGCAATGCCAGACTCTCCGGCTGAAGTGAAGACGCAGCCCCGGTCCACACCCCCCAGCATGCCACCCCCACCTCCCGCCGCATCCCAGGGAGCCACACGACCACCCTCCTTCACACCTCACACACGTGAGTCCCCCCTCATAGCACGGCAACAGACCAGGGCAGGGAGAGTAGAGTAGGTGGAGCCACTTGAAATTCTGTACTCTACATTTAACTTTAAACGTGACCCAGGGACCCGTTTGCAGCCTAACCTTGGGCTCAGATCCCAGCTCCTCCTACTTAACTGTGCTACTTTGAGTTAGCTACTTAACCTTTCTGGCCCAACTTCCTCATTTATAGAGTAGGGGCCTCCTGTGGTTCCCGTCTTACAGTCATTGTGGAAATGCCATAACAGACATTACCAGCCTATAAGCACTGATGTCTGAAGGGCCCAGGTACTTAGGTTCATCTCAACAGCCCAGAGCAGAGACCTGCACTCTGGGGATGGGGTGGGGGAATTCCAGAGAGCAGACATGGCAGCTCTCCTCCATAGCCACCTCTTTTCTTAGAAAGATTGTGACTTAGACTCTCAGGTGTTGAGCAGTTGGAAAGACAGAAACTCCCAGGGTTGGGCCATTAAAGGGGACAATTACTCATGCCTCTTCTCCCAAGATAAAGTCTATCCTAAGTGTTCTGGCAGGAAAAAGAAGCCACGGGCCATCCCCACTACAACCTTCAAATACACGTACTTGAGGGACCCTTCCCCAGACCTCAAACTGAAGCAATACCCCTCTCTGAGGGAGGGGTCTCAGTACCTCAGCCTGATGTCCCCTGGTTTCCAGGGCATGGGTGCTTCTCTGGTCTTTCCATTTCTGGACATGGAGCACTGACTCTGCCCTTCAAAGGCAGCGCTCTAAACAAAGCCCTGCTATCTAGAGAAAGGCCGACATGGAGAGCAAGCAGCTCAACCCGAGGCCAGCCTCGTCCTGTTGACAGGGTGTCAGGCTCCTGCTTTGAGGGTTACTATCATCGGCTTCCAGGTACAGCGGCATGGAGCCAAGACTGTCTGAGAATGTGCCCGGCACAGGGCAGGTTGTCTCATGGCTGAATGCTCATATACACCTTCCAGTCTCTTGGGAAGTTCTGTCTCCCACTTCCTACAGTGTTAACCGGAGTCCAGTAATTGGTTAGCCTGGACTGGGGGCTCCTAGCTCTGCCTCTTGTAGCTGGGACTCTACCCTTAGCAGCCTTGCTGCTCTCAGAGGACAGAGGTGCCTGCCAGGCCCTGGATCTGCATGCTGGCCATGCTCCTCCAGGCCAGAGGTGCCTGTGCCTTTTCTCCCATTCTTCTGCCCATAGTGCTGTGGCTGAGATAGTCGCCTTCCCTTCCTTCCCCAACCACCCTTCCCTCTGGGCTGAACTGCAGGGAGACTCTGGCTGCTGGGCAACTAGCTTCAAAGCTTATCCAGTGGATAAGAGGAGACTCTGTGGGACTGTGCCAATGTCACCAGCCAGTGCCTTAACCTAAGGATGGGAATTGTTTGTTGGGGAGACTGCTATGCCCCCTCTCCCAGCAGTGAGGCCATGATACACTCCCTGAAACAATGGTCCTCCAGATGTCTGGAGGTCCCAAGCAGGAAGGAAGAACAGAGCAGCTCACAAGCTGATCTTGGACTCTGAACTGTCACCGACCCTGAGGGTGTGCCTCCCCCAGCCTGCATTTCCCTGTGGACCAGGTTCTGATCCCAAAAGCTGGCCTGGACGCCAGATGTTCCTGGTTAGGAGTGAGGATGGGATCAGCTGGGACCTTCAGGGCTTTACTTTCATGGGGCCTATAAAGAGATGTGAGGGCAGCCAGTGCATGTGCGGTGCAGTACACAGGGAGTTGTGTCCCCACCCCCACCCCTCAGTCCCACCCTGGGGATTGCAGCTCTGTCTATAGAGCACAAGGCTTTCGTTTTTCTCTAAGCTGACACTTGCAGTCCGTGGGCCTTCAGATCTGTGGGGCTAGTTGGTGCATAAACCTGAGGCTTAGGCCTCTTGAGGTCACCTCAGGTTTGTTCCTAATCCACATGGTTAACCACACCCCTGCACCTGGCTGGTGCTGGTGGCAGTCCTGGTAAAGCCTCTGCAGCCAGCTGCAGATTCCTGCCCAGTGCTTCAAGCCAAACGAAGAGACTGACCTTGAACCTCTACTTGAGGGCTGTGGTTTTCCTGGCCCAGTGATCATCCTGGACACAGCTTGGTCTCCGGCTGGAGAGATGGACAGGAGGCTGAGTGTGGAGCCTGGGACAGTGCAAGAGGCATTGACCCAGACGACACTCCTCTCAGGCAGGGAGCCCCTAGCTGGGTTGAGCTCGACAGGGGGCTCACTACTCCTAGTGCCCATCTCCACTGATAACCCAATTCAGGTAGCTCACACGTGAATCTCAGTGATTGATAACACACAACTCGGGGCCCAAGTCCCTTAAGGACAGTGCTGAGGAGCTGACTGGGCCCTTTCTGGGGGGGGATAGCTTTTAAGAGGTAGGCGCTGTGCATGCGGACAGATACTCAGTGCAACTGTTATTTTGCAGAGGAGGAAACTGAGGCCCAGAGGAGGAGTGGACTGGCCCCAGTGGCAACAGCATGGTCTCTAGGACTGCCACTGAGCAATAGAGGGGACGGGCCGCTGCGGCGCCCTCCTGACAGCGTGTTCTTCTTATTTTGCTTACAGATGGCGAGGATGGACCTGCGACGTCTCTGCCCCACGGCCGTTTCCACGGCTGCTTAAAGTGGTCCATGGTCTGTCTCTGTAAGTAAAATAACAAGAACCATGGGCTTCAAGGAGGCCGCCTGGGTCCTTCTTGCTGCCTCTACACCCCCTTTGTTGGATCTCCAGCCACATTAGAGACAAGAGAGGCCCAGGGGCCTAAGGGCTAGAGACTGAGACCCTCAGACAGTGTGCTGGGACTGTAGGACCTTCGCATGTGAACACCTTCTGAGCATCATCCCCGACAGTCAAACAGGCTGTGAGAAGACAGGGGGACATGTGTCAAAGACAAGTCAAGCGCCACTGTTTCAAGAGACTTTAGCTCCCACTATTGACAGATACTGGCAGATACAGTTGCCTGTGCCTCAGTTTCCCCACCTGTAAAGAGATGCTGTCACAGTATGGAGTGCTGAAGGTGATTCGTGCACCATGCTGGCAAAGCCTTGTTGCCATGTCTGACCCATGCCGCATGCCCTGTGGGCATCAGTCACTAGTGGATGATCCCACCAAAGCTCTGGGTGATGTCCATACTACCCGCCCCCATCATCAGGTGTTACTGCATCTTAGCAGTCCTACCGGGGCCAATTAGCTGCATCTCCCAGGTGTGCACAGCTGCCATGTAACTTCTGGGCTCTAAGAATAAGGAAGAGGTTGCATGTGTTATGTTCTATGTTGTCCTTGCTGCCATCATTCTATGCCATGCTTGGCCACACACTAGGGCCTGGCACGCGGCCTGATTGGCTGTCAACTGTTGACTGGTTCTTGTTGTGGTGATAATGGTGTTCTCCTAGCCAGGGAGACAGCGTGGAAGAACCGTTAACAGGGTTCGTGCACCCCAAGCCAACTCCCACCCAAGCCTCAAGACCAGGGGAGCTATGGGGGTGCTAGTTTGTGCCCCCAAACATCAGCCGAGGACACGTGTGCAGTCTAAGTTAGTAACACACCTGTTGTGGTAATGAAAACACTTGTGCTGGGGGCTATTTTTGGCGTCTCTTTAGCTGCTGAGACTGCCCGGCAGCCGCGGGAGGGAAGACAGACAGGCAGTGAGGCGAACAGGCCACGGGGGACCCAGGCGCTCAGAGCAAGACTGGTAAGCGGGCCTCAGGGAGGACAGGACCAGGTCAGGCTGGGTCTGGTGGGTGGCGGGCTAGATAATGTGGACATTGGCATGTCTTAGAAACTATTAAAAGATCCAGGGCCCTGGTGATAAAACACTTGGTCTTAAGACACAGGTCCACCTATTAGTGAGGTCTCCGTGGCAACAAGCCATCTCCTAGTCTGGCTGAGGTGACAGCAAGTGGCTGTCATTAGGTTTGACTGGGGCATGTGTGTCCGTGGCTGTCAGAGCTTACTGGTGAGAGAGAAGTCCACCCAGTGGGGTCCTCTGGACATGGTCTTAGAGAGGCTGGGAGCCCAGAGCTGTTGGTGTGCTGTATGCAGACATCACAGACCATCTCAGAGCAAGAAGGGTGCTGGTATGCACAGACTTACGCTGGCCTGCTTCTACTAACATACAGTCATTCTGGAACTGACTGTATATCCCAGGCCCTGTGGTGGACTCTTGAGATAATGTGGGGAACCAAATGGAGATGCTTCCACTTCCATGTGCATAGCCCCCACCAGGACAGAGGAGCCGTTTAGAACTGTATACAGAGGGTTCCGTGCCTGGTGGCAGCACAGAAACACCAAGGTGGCCTGTGAGCCTGGGTCCCTCTCCCCACATGCTCTGCAGCTTCTGCTCCTCAGGAGCAGCTGTCGAGGGGTACCTCACCCAACACCCAACATGTAGAGTCGGTCGGGTCAGTGGTGGCATTGGCAGGCTCCAGCAGCCATGCGGTGGGAAACAAGGAAGACGGCTGTGCTCTGATCCTAGAGCCACCTCAGAACTTCAGAGTGACTTGGGACCATTGGCAGACAGACCTAGGTCTGGCCTACATTGTACGTCTCAACTGGTGTTGCTCCCCCAACCGTCCAGGGTTTATGACATGGGGGTGTCTGAGGACCTGTGAAAGTCCTTGTATCAGGTGACTGTCAGGCTGGAGGTGAGGATAGAGGAATGGGAAGGGGTGTCCCCTGAGGGGACTATGACAGTGTTCACACCCACACCACACTGTAACAGCCCTGGGCTGGGTCCTGCCTTACACTCCTGGGGAAGGTAGGGGTCAACCCTAGGATCAGACAGTTGGGAAACACCAGTTGGGTCTATGCATGAACCGTTTATCCCAGGGCCTTAGTGGCCTTGTCTGTTACGTGGGTCTAGAACATCCTTGTGTGGAACCACCAGTCCCGGCCCCAGGTTTATTTGGGCTGGAGCCTCAGGCAGTATCTGGGCAAGACAGAGTTAGTTACTGTACTAGTTAGCAAGAGAGGGCTATGTGGGGCCCATAGGGGAGACAGAAACCCCAAGACTGGCAGAGTAGGATTAGGTCCCCCATCCTGTAGTGTAGGCAGAGGCGTGACAGGATCCTGCAAGAGCCATAGGGCAAGGAAGGGAGGGACTTAGGTAAAGGCCCCACCTCACCTTTCCATGTGCAGCCCTTAGGCCACCTCCCAGTGCTTGGATCAAGATGTGCAGGCAGGTGCAGTCTAGAGTGACTTGCTGAGGTACCCACTGCCTGAAGCAAGCAGATACTCCAAGGGAACTCTGTATCTAGAAAAAGGGCTCCCCTTCTCCCTTGGCACTTATAGCCCGACCAGGCCTCACCACAGCTAGAGCTTTGGGGACTGTGATCTTGAGGGCACCCCAGACCTACACTCTCAGTACAGGCCCGAGAACCTGGCTTCTGCACACTTGGTCAAGGCAGGGGACAGTGGTGCATCCCTAAGGTCAGGGGACATAAGACACAAACAGAAACAACAGTTGAGTGAGCCAGAGGTGTTTGCATGTGTCTGTATCTAAAGGAAGCATTTATGACCTCTGAACTCTGACCTGTGTGCAGACTCTGCTAATCATACCTTTGTCACTCCAGGCTGAGAGGCAAGGACTCTGAGGCAGCCCCTGGCCTTGGCCCTGGTACTCTGAGTTGATGGCAGGGTCACCCAGTGAGCCATGGCTCAGTGACTGGCAGCTGTGATCCTGTAGTATGCTTATCAGCTGTCTCCTTAGTCACCTGATTGTCCTTAGCATGAACTAGCCCTGGACACCGTCTTCTGTGTCAAAATCCCCCGAAGAACCCAACCAGCTCTTCCTGGGGGGCGGGTCTCAGTTGCTCCGCCTGATCTCGAGTCCCCTCACTCAGGCACTGGGCTACTTGTTGGCAATGGTGTTAGTCAGGCTTAGAGAGGCTCAGGATCCTCAAGGTTGGGGAAGTTCCTGGGCCAGTCCTCAGGGCTAAGGAGAGTTGGGGCATTGCTCAGAGGTGGGGAAGAGATTGGGTAGAGGTTGTTGCTTGAGGTCATAACAGTAGAGGCAGAGTGGCTGGACTTTTCTTGAGGCGATGGGGGTGACTTCTCATTTCCCATACTATGGATGAAGAGGCCCTGCACTTGCTCCTAGTGGAAACCTGAGCCAGTCTGGTAGGATGGCCTGGGCATCTCCTGCGTGTGGAGGACCTGGACTATTGGCTGGTGTGAAGGCCTTGCCCTCAGGCCCAGGGTAAACCCCCAGAGACAGTGTAAGTGAGCCCCTCAAATGTCTGTCTCTGCAGCCACTTCCTGGGTGTGAGCCCTACCACCCTCCTGGCTCGGGTACCCGAGGTGAAGGGAGTCACCTCCCTAGTGCCAGTTTGCATATCTGCAAGAGTATAACACCCACAAGCACAGTAAGGTTGCAAGGATGGAAGGGCAGCTGTGCAGGCTGCTGGGCACAGCTGCTCTGGACTCTGCTGTCTGTCATCATCACTGCCATTTAGGTCGTTGTTGTCATTGTCACCATGTATAATTATGCCTGGCCCTCACACCCTGTCCTCCTGCAGTGATGAACGGGAGCAGCCACTCACCTACAGCCATCCACGGTGCCCCATCTACACCCAATGGCTTCAGCAACGGCCCAGCCACCTCATCGACTGCCTCGCTGTCCACACAACACCTGCCCCCAGCGTGTGGGGCGCGGCAGCTCAGCAAACTCAAGCGTTTCCTCACCACCCTGCAGCAGTTCGGCAGTGACATCTCGCCTGAGATTGGGGAGCGCGTGCGCACCCTGGTGCTGGGGCTGGTGGTGAGTCTCCAGGCTCTCGGGCCGCTGTGTTCCCCGTGGCAGCCACTCCGCCACAGGCTCCATCATTATGCCTACAACTCCATTATGCCCTGCTCATCCCTCAGGCCAGGCCCAGAGCCTCCTCCTTCCCGGGGTGGGGGTGGGGCAGCCGGTTCAGATAGTACATGGGAACCTTTAAGTGGGGTGCTCTCTCCTGCAGAACTCAACTCTGACGATTGAAGAATTTCATTCCAAGCTCCAGGAAGCCACCAACTTCCCACTGCGGCCATTCGTCATACCCTTTCTGAAGGTAAGCAAATCTGTCCTACGAGGTTCTCCCTGAGAGACCCCAGTCCCCAGTCCCCTCCCTACCAGGCATCATTCTCAGCTGTCCAGGAAAATGGTGCTGGCCCCAGATCTGACTAGTAGGGCTGTAACTAGATGCTTGACCTCATGATTCCCCCCCCCCCAAACCAGAGTGTTCTCATCCCTCACAGAGCTTTGAGTTGCCCACTCCATGCCAGGGTCTGCGCAAGGCTCCAGGGGTAGCATGAACGGACAGGAAAGTCCCCTGAAGCAATGCCCGTGTGGGAAGAGAGCGCTATCAGCCAGGTGTAGAATGTGGAAATGTGCGAAGTGAGAAAATATTCCCAACTCCCTCAAGGATTTCACGGTGACTGAGAAGGCTGGAGCAGCCTTAGGGAGTGCCCTGCAGGAAGCAGGCCTAGTATATACAAAGGCCCTGGGAAGGAGAAAAGGCTAAGTGAAGGGATGGGAGTGCCGAGGAAGTGACCAGGTGACAGACAGGCGGTGGGAGCCTTCTGGGGCCACATGAACGACCCGGTGGCACTGCACCTTTGGCAGAGTCACCAGAGCCCTTGAGCCAGGCAGGCTCCTCACCCCAGCCCAAACCCTCAGATGAGACGCTCCGTTTGTTTGGGGGTTGGGGCTAGGTTGGGTTTTGTGGTTTGGGGGGTTTTGTTGTTTTCAGTGCTGAGGGTTCAACACTGTCTTATAGATCCAAGTGTCCTGCTGCTGAGCCGTAGCTCCAGCCCTGTCTAATTCTGAGACAGGGTCTCATTAAGTTTCCTGGGCTGGCCTTGAACTCTTTATCCTCCTGCCTCAGCATCCAGTAGTTGGAATCGTAGGTGTGCACCAGTAGGCTTAGTGAGATGCTGGATTTTAAAATCTGGTAATACACACACACACACACACACACACACACACACACACACAGGGAATGAGCCAAGTCCTCACATAGGGCCTGTGACTCACTGCAGCCCTTCACCCTGAGGAGTGAGGATGGCATGCTTCCAAATGTGTTTGGCCGTGTGTTCTCTTCCCACTTAGACCTCGGGGGAGATGCTAGAATATCCACACCTTAGAGCACCCACCTCCACTTACAGCTAGAGCCACAGGTTATGCTTCCACTTGTCCGTGCTCTTCTTAGTCAAAGTTCAAGGTCAGACCACACAAGGGGTAAGCTCCAAGACATCCGAGACATGAGCCCCTACCAAGCCGCCTAGCAGACACTAGGCTGGCCCCATGCCTCTGCACTCAGCCCCTGTTGCTCGAGTGCTCCATTCTCTCAGGACAGCTACATCAGTAAAGTTTTTAACTGCCTAATTTAGACCAAGAATGGGTCATAAAGATCTCCGCGTAGATGCTCTCTTGACTGCTGGAGGGGGAGGCCCATGACTATTTAGGAAGGTGCTACTCTGGCTTTCCGACCAACCAAGAGGGGACCCTATCCAGTGAGGGCAGCGAGGCCCCTGGAGCTGCCTGAGCTCTTCCTTCTTTCGAGCCACTGGCCCTGGGCTCCTACCATGCTGTAACAGCAAAGTCGTTATGCTCTTTGACTGGGCAGAGTGGGCCGCTGCTCTGGCTCCTGTTTTGGCAACAAGGGTAGAAGGACTGGCTGCAACCTCATATTTTTAGGTTCTACCTTTGGCTCTTACTGCCCCTTCACCCCAGGATCTCCATATCATGGAGAAAGATGTACCACTCGGTGTCCCTAACAATGAGACACAGAGGTCCTAGGTCAGCTCTGAGGTGGGCAGAGAGAAATGAATGTGGAGAGGGTCCTGTGGCAAAGCAGTGCTGGGCAAGGTGTTCCACCCAGGGCTTGCTTTGGGTGATGCCACACTAGGTTAGGTAAGAAGGGTATGAGGGTAGGGACTCTGGGCAGTGAAAGCTGGGATATTCCAGGCATAAACAGGGTGGCCAACGCTACCAGGCATCTGCTGCGAAAACTGGCTCTGACAAAATAAGCAGGCGCATGGCATCCTAAGGCGGTGGCAGAGTCAGCAGTATGTGGAGGGTGAGGAGAATGCGAGCCTCCAACGCACCGCAAATGACTGCCAGGTGGGCCCACGCGCTAGCACCCGTGGCTTCTCTGTTGTCACTAGCTCCCGTGTGAGCCCAGCAAGGTATGGGTGGGAGGGAGGAGGGGACTGGATATGGGGTGTCATGTGGGGGTCCCCCTATGAGGTGCCAGAGGAATGAGGCTGGTGGGACATGTCCTGTGAATGTTGTGGAGACTCTGAACCAGCCTTGGGGCTGTACCAGCTAGAAAAGTGAGGTTCAGCTTTCCTGCCTGCTAACTTGACAGCGTCAGGGCCTGTGTGTCCCCCTCCAGGAGTGGCATCCGCAGTGATTCTCATGGCCACCTCTGGGGATGCCATTCTGAGAAGAAACTGTTCTGAAGATGTGGTTGGGAGAGCTGGGCTCCGACTGCAGGGCCTTCTTGGGTCCTTTCCTATGCAAGACAGAACTGCCTGCCACGCAGGAGGCAAAAGAACTGAGTTAATCCACGTGGGGCTCACGGGAGCCCATCATAGCGCTTCCAGAGTTCAGGTTTATGGGGGAGGCAGGAGGCAGTTGTGTGGCTTCCCAAGGTCACACAGCACCTGAGTAGCCCAGCCAGGGTGAGTGATCCACCAGTCTTCCATGGGACAGCCCGTGGTGGAAGGCTCTGCAGAGCCAAGTGGAGCGCGAAGAAGACTCGTGGTCCAGCTGTCACCATGGTGGTTCTGTGTGTGCTGTGTAGCCTCTGCCAGAGGCCCATTGAGGAGAAAGATGGTTTAGATTTTCCCGGACATCAAAATCTCCATGCCAAGTTAAGTTGGGGCCCAGGGTGCCCTGTGACCAGCTTGGTGTGTCCTCTGAATGATGCTTGGGACTTTTGAAGAAGCATGGGGACTTGTTCTTTCTGGGTGAGCAGTGGTCCTGTAACCCCAGTCAAGGACTGTACGGCTAGACTACCTGATACCTTAGGTCCCCTCCACTCTCTCCTGCATCCGCCCTCATGTATCTGGACAGTGGACTTTTCAGAAGCTGCCCCACCCGAGGCTCCAGCTCCCAGATGGCCCCAGCTGGCCAGGACCCCAGATGTTTCCCCACCCTAACTGCAACCAGATGGTGCTCATGCCCAGCCCCCACCCCACCATGCTGGCCAAAGAAAGGACAGGGTGGGTGGGGGACTGGTGAGGGAGGAGACTCTGGGCTACTGAGACCTCCCAGGACCTCATCCCAGCTCATGCTTCTGACGTGGTCGGCAGATGGTGAGCTGGCCTCCGTTCAGCTATCCAAACAGAAAAACAGGCTTGGCAGCCACACAGCTCAACAAAAATGCATCGGCTGCCTGATGGGCCGGGTGGATGCACCAGCAGGGGCTGAAGAGGCAGAGGCTTGGAGAAGACTGCCCTGGCAGCTTTGAGACGCATGGGAAAGTTGTGGATTGTGTTTATTTACAAATACTTAGAACTGCTGGTTCTCCCAAGAGCTTGCCACTGGGCCCCTGTCCAGCATACACGGGGCCAGCCTGCCACCCTACCCACTGCAGCTGTGGAAAGGCTGACCACCAGCAGTGCCTGGAGACCCTGGTCTAGCACTAGGGTGAAGTTCATAGGTTTAGAGATGGGGTCTGGGAGCTCTGGTGGCCTCGTCTGCAAATGCAGAATCGAGTTGTGACATCATCCCTGAGGCTGGGGTTCATGAAGGTCATATTCCCTGTGTGCTCAGAGCTGCATGACCGCAGAAGGCATACTCTGGTGTCTGAGGTCCTCCTGTGAGCTTTGTTCCTGGCTGAGACTGAAAAGCGGGAGACTGGGGCTCCTGGCCTGTGCATTTTGGGGTTCAGAGCAGAGACCCTGCTGATTCTGCTCCCCTTACACACACACATACTCTCTCTGCTTGGTTGCTTGAACTTTGCTTTCCTTCTCTGCGCCAAAAACAACATGGTGCCTGCTTGACAAGGTACAGGTAGAGAATATTGCCTTCAGACTCAGAGAGGAAGCATGATGATATAGAAAGTCCATACGTTGCTGTGTGTCCAGCAGGACACAGACCTGTCACTTCCCACAGTGCTATGGGAACGAGCAAGGAACCTGGGGGACCCAGAGCCCTGAGTCACACACAGGTAGCTCTGGGCTGTCTTCCGGTCCAAACAGGTTAGGTGGGCTTGCATGCCAGCTGACAGTCAGCTGTGTCTAAAGCTCCTGTCCTGCCCCCAGGCTAATCTCCCGCTGCTGCAGCGAGAGCTCCTGCACTGTGCCCGCCTGGCCAAACAGACGCCTGCCCAGTACCTGGCCCAGCATGAACAACTGCTGCTGGATGCCAGCGCCACCTCCCCTGTTGACTCTCCCGAGCTCCTGCTGGAAGTCAACGAGAACGGCAAGAGGAGAACACCAGACAGGTAACAGCCTTTCCCAGATCGGTGGGACAGGGAGGTGACCCACGGTGGCCTCTGCCTGCCCATCTGCCTCTGCCGCGATTCTGCCAGACAGCTGGTCCAGTCTGTTCTCTGCAGCAGGGCTGGCCGATCAAGCGCTGCTAATACTGCTGCATGCTTCAGGGACAGGCTGGTGGGCTGGTGACACTGGGTTCTGCAGCATGCGCAACCCTATTGAGCAATGACCCAGGGTCTCTGGGATCCCTGGAGGACAGCAGCTCAGAAAGGGGTCTGTCCCTCAGGACTCATTTTTCTTGTGCTTTTTGTAGACCCTGAGTGGCCTGGAGTCTACGGCCCATGGTGGCTGGGCTGGACAGGACCCCTTGACTGGCCACTAGACCCCTACTGCTGTACCACAGTGGGGACCACACCTAGCCATGGGACTCTGGGTGTCTCCTCTCCATTCTTTATCAGGCCAGAGGAGGTCAGAGAGGGGGACCAGAACCCAGTACGGCTCCTCTGAGTTTCTGCCTTTACCCTCTCTCTCTTCTCACCTGTTATTACCCTCTGTCCTCTGTCCACTGGGGCTGGTATCGATTGGCCACCTGTTTTCTTGATCAGGACCAAAGAGAATGGGTCAGACCGGGACCCTCTGCACTCCGACCACCTCAGTAAGCGGTCCTGCACCCTGAGCCCTGCCCAGCGCTGCAGTCCCAGCAATGGGTTGCCCCACCCTACACCACCCCCACCCCCACACTATCGCCTGGAGGACATGGCCATGGCCCACCACTTCCGGGACTCCTACCGACATCCAGATCCCCGAGAGCTGCGGGAGCGCCATCGGCCCCTCGGTAAGCAGTGTGAGAGTTACCATTGACCCTTCAGGGTATGGGCACAGAGAGTGTGTGACCCCGTGTCTGCGAGCCGGCCCACGTGTATAAGCCTGCATGTACTTGGGCTGGAGAGAGTTTACATGCATTTATTTAGGGGTTCAGTCAGCGGCTGCTTGTACCTATGCCCTAGTGGAAGACACTTATGCTGTAAGCAGCACCTCATCTGCCCAGGAGCCAGGAGCCACCCCGGTGCCCAGGTAGCCTGACTTGCCCCTTCAGACCCAAGTTGCCCTTTCTTGCACACAGAATAGCACTATCTTTTAAAGGACCAGCCTTTTTCACCCTCCTGGGCTGGGCAGCCTAAGGCCAGAGTAGCTGAGGGCAAGGCAAGGGCTACCACACTTTGCTTGAATCCAGAAGTGGGTCATGTGACAGCTCTGTGCCTCAGTTTCTCAGAACAGTTGTGTGAGGACAGGGACATTGATAGAGCACCTGGCACACAGTGCACTCCAAAGCCCAGTTACTGGCGACAGGGACAACAGCTGACACAGAGCACATGCACTTGGTCATGTCTCAGCCTGGACCCATACCTCTAGGGAAACTGAGGCTCAGAGAATATAAGTGGGACAGCCACGGATGGTCACAGCAACACCTGCCTAACCCCAACCCTGCTCCACCCCTGTGTGTTGGAAAGGAATGCTACAAATGACTAGCCAGGGTCACTCAGGACACCTATAGGGTCCCAGAGCAGGGTCAGCAGAGGCCTCTCCCTAACCACCCCCCCACATACACACTGTGGAAGCTTCCAGGGCCTGGGCCTAGGCAGCAGGTGACAGTGTCTGGCTCGCCACAGCCGGGTCAGGCAGGTGCTAATTCCCACCCGCTTCTGCTAATGCAAAAATAAACGCCAGCTGTCGCACAGATCTCAGCCTCTATTTTAGTTGGGGCGTTGGCATAGGCCCCTCGTGGGCAGCCGGAGAGGGCGCTGGATGACGGCTGTGGCCACTCCCTGCCCTTCTGCAACTCGAGGAAGGCATTTCAGGTTAGGTACTAAGAGGTCCGTAGGTACTGGTGGCGGCTTTAAAGAGAGGCTTTGCCCCCACCCCCAGGAAGGCTGGATTGGCACCAGGTCACCTGCACAGCCTCAGTTACCACATTGGCAGCTTTGACACTGCAGAAGAACTAATAGAGGGCCTTCATGTCCCTCATGTCCCAGCCAGTGGCAACCCACACCCTGCCCATTTGACCATCCCCAAGGGCACAGATTCAGGCTGGCCTCACGCCATATACTGGCCTCCCCCACTTTCTGCCTGGTAACTGTGGACAGACATAAGCAGCCTCAGTTTCCTGATCTGTTACATGGGAAAGATGAACCTTCCTTCCAAGGTCAAGGCAGAAAGAAGGGAACGGTGCTTAGCACCAAGCCTTGCCTGGGGACACCCCTCAAGCTTACCAGGTCAGCTTGGGATCTTCTTTCTAACTATACTCACTGTGTTAAGAACACGCAGAAGCCAGGCAGTGGTGCTGCACACCTTTAATCCCAGTACTTGGGAGACAGAGACAGGTGGATCTCTGTGAGTCTGAAGCCAGCCCTGGTCTACGAGAGGTAGTTCCAGAACAGCTAGAACTGTTAAACAGAGAAACCCTGTCTCGGGGAAGAAAAAAAAAAAAGAACTAGGCAGGGTCAGGAAATGGAGGCAGGGAGTGGCACCATAAGGACCCCAGGACCCCCTGGGGAATGAGCCTTCCTGGCTGGCTTCTTTGTCTGACCCTGCTGTCAGTAGATCTGATCCCAAGACCACACTCAGGGCTGGTAAATACCCAAGGCAGAGTTCCGCCTGGGGACACAGAGGTAAACACATCACGCCATCTTTCTCCGTGGATCTGACAGTGGTGGGGAAGAATAAACAGGGAAGTCTTGTACCCAGAGACCAGAGACACACGTGGCCTGAGGAATTCCAAAGAATTCCTACTCCGCAGCTGTAGAGGGGCCCCATGGCCTGGACTTTGAGGAATGCATAGGAGTACCCATATTTGAGAGGAAGTCATAAACACACATAAGTTGAGCAGCTGCACAGAGGCCCTGAGGTTTCTGGACCCTGACAAGGCAGACCCTTAATGTGGATCTGGATCTGCCTATCAGAAATGGGCATAGTAAAAGCAAGAGGAGCTGGGTTTGTGGGCTAGTAGGAAGGAAATGAAGGGTCAGGGCAGAACCAGGGATGGCAAGTGTTTCATCTGTTCCTGACCCCCTGAGGTAGGATTGGAACTGAGGAAGTAGGAGGCACCTGGGAGTAGGTGCAGGACCCAAGATCCAAGTCGGGGCTTAGCATCTGCCTGGGGGCCTAAATGTGCATTGCCCTTCCTGCAGCCATGCCTGGGTCTCGACAAGAAGAAGTGATTGACCACAGGCTCACAGAACGGGAGTGGGCAGAAGAGTGGAAACACCTCAACAGTGTGAGTATCTGTGATTCCCAGAATGTCTGCACACCTCTGGATCCCAAGGCTTGGGGTGGGGAGCAGCACTGGGTTCAGCATCTCCTGGCAGGACCTATCTGAGAACTGAGAACCTGCTGTCTGCCTGTCCCTTTATGTGAGCATCATTGTCTATGTTTGACCTGTCAGGGTGCTATGAGAGAACAGAGACAAGGATGCTGAATCATGCAGACAGACCCTTCCTCCTCCACTGTTTCCTGCTCAGAGACTCATGCAGGGTAGAGCCCCAGTGGTGTAGGACAGCTCTGTGTTTAGGTGCCTGAGCCCCTGGTCAGGCCAAGTGGACCATATCTTGATGTTCCTAGAAGCTCTGTTCCTCTGACCATCATGCACCTTGAAGTGTGGATCCCTTACCTACTTCTTTCTTGGGGATGTTCCCAAGACAGATTGCTCTCAGAGTTTCACAGGAGGCACCCTGAACCCCCATCCTGCCTTGAAGTTCCTATTCAAGTTGGGTGCCCATAAGTCCTGGGAGCCATTTTACTATCTGTGAGGAGCCAAGGTAGATTTCTGTGCCCTGCCTTCAGGAATGATGAGCTGGCTCCCCACCACCCCCTCCATGTTGGATGGCCACATCTGGCCACAGTGCTGGTTCCAATGTACTGAAGGCCCTGCCACCCACCCGCAGCTCCTGAACTGTATCATGGATATGGTGGAGAAGACACGGCGATCCCTCACTGTGCTGCGCCGGTGCCAGGAGGCTGACCGCGAAGAACTCAATCACTGGATCCGGTGCTACAGCGACTCTGAGGAAGGGAAGAAGGGCCCCACCCCCACCTCTGCCCGGCCCCTCAACAGCTGCAGTGGCCCCGAGGGGTCTCAGCTAGGTGTGTACTAGGGAAGAACAAGGAAGACCTGCAGTGAGAGGTTGCTGGCTCTACACAGTCTCAGTAGGATGCCACTGATTTCCCAGAAAGCTAGCCAATGGTCAGGCTTTACTTAAACTGAGCATCACTTGGAAAGGGGGGAGGGGCGTTTTCATTTGCAGAAATATGTGCCCAGTCTGCTAGGAAGCCTGAAGCTCCCAGGTCCTAGTAGGTACAAGCCAAGCTTAGGAGGTGGCACCTAGGGGCTTCTATGTAGTCATTCACCATAGTGGTGACCACAGAGACTAGGGAAGGTCTAGGATATGCCCAGTTCCCAGCCTGAGTCCATGTTCACTGGCTATAGAGCATGCTACCCCAATCTCCCCATCCCTCTGGAATGTGAAGCCCTCTTTCCCGGGAAAAAAAATTATTCCTTACCTTCAAGCCCTGGCAAGAGTAGAAGGGAACCCAGAGTAGAAGAAGGCAACTGACGACCCCACCTTGTGTATGACATTGTACCCCATCCCTTTTTTCAGATGTTCACCGGGATTTCATGCCCAGGACCCTCTCTGGCTATATGCCGGAGGAGATCTGGAGGAAGGCTGGTGAGTAAGGCTATTGGGACAAACCCTGGGGACAACCATAGGGAGTGTCTGCAACTCAGATGGGCTCCTCATGCAGCAAGTTTGTGTATTTACACATTGGGACACACACAGAGGTGTGCATAGAATGCATGTACACACACACACAGAGAGAGAGAGAGAGAGACAGACAGACAGACAGACAGACAGACAGACAGACAGACAGAGACAGAGAGAATGTGAATCAGTTACTTACAGCCAGAGTTCCCCTCTGGCTCCCAAGCAAAGCCAAGGACCAGATCTGTTGTCCTCAAGGCAGGTTCTTCTCAGCAGTGGCTTTCCTGAAGCCTGTTAGAACAGAATCTTGGGCACTACTGGAACCTGCTGGATCATACTGTGGTGTGGGGACTAGCCCTCACCCTCTGAAGATGCTGGGTCATACTGTGGGGTGGGGACACTATGGGGTGGGGACTAGCCCTCACCCTCTGAAGATGCACACCAGAGTGAGGAGCATGATGCTGGCAGGTAGAGCCACGGGTAGTTTACCCATGGCCCTATTCCTCTTGACCAGGGTTCACACATGTGCCCAGGACTCACACATTTTTATCCACATGCTATGGGACATTATAACCACGCTCTGACAGTCCTGAGACTGCCAATAAAGTTTACCTTGAATCAGAGGGCAGAGCTAGCTACTAGCCGACCAAAATTAGCCATAGAGGTTTTGGAGGACCCAGGATATATAAAGAGACAGAGGAATAGTAGAGAGGGGCTTAGGGAGAGTCTGGGCCTTTTGGATCAAGAAAGGAGACTGGTTATTTTTTAAAGATTTATTTATTAATTATGTATACAGTGTTCTGTCTGTATGCCTGCTGACCAGAAGACAGCACCAGCTCTCATTACGGATGGCTATGAGCCTCCGTGTGGTTGCTGGGAATTGAACTCAGGACCTCTGGAAGAGCAGTCAGTGCTCTTAACCTCTGAGCCATCTCTCCAGCCCTCACTGGTCACTTCTTTGCCACTCCTCTGATCAATCAGGTTTTAACCCTGATATCTGACTCCTGAGTTTTTATTGATAAAGAATAATTAGATAAACGCTTCATCCACAAACCTGGCAGCAAAGGTATGGGATCACTGACTTGTGCCTCTGTGTCAACACATGCAAAGTAAGGTAAGCATGTGCACACACAGCTGCATTTAGGCTCCTACCCAAGTGGTGCATGTCCAGAACCCCAGGCGAGCTAGCCTGGGTGATTACTGGCAGTGTGACCACCATCCCACCTCTGTGCTTTACAGAAGAAGCCGTGAACGAGGTGAAGCGCCAGGCGATGTCAGAACTACAGAAGGCTGTGTCTGATGCAGAGCGCAAAGCCCATGAACTCATCACCACAGAGCGTGCCAAGATGGAACGAGCCCTGGCTGAGGCCAAGCGGCAGGCCTCAGAGGATGCCCTGACTGTCATCAACCAGCAAGAGGACTCCAGCGAGGTAGGGCCTCTAGCCACCTCTGTGCTCCATTTCTGCCTCCAGGGCTGACCAAACCTGCTTTAGAACACCACACCTGTGCAGCCTCTAGACCAATGAGCTCTCTGCTGGCAGAGGTCATAACTGTCATTGGCAACATAAGCAAGCATGCAGTCTGTCCAGCACTGCTTGTCAGTAAATAAAGAGACCCACGAGGCCTGGTAAGGCATTTCTCAGGCCTTCCTAACCAGCAAGTAGCATTAATTGAAGATCCAGAGAGTAATGCTTGTCCCGGGCCTGGCACACGTTAGGAACCATATTCCATCGAAGGCTATTGATGTCAAACCCTCTGTTCTTTAACTTATAAAGGAGACTTTTCAGGACCCTGGGGTCTCCCTCAGCTTTGGGCATAATGAACAGGAAGGAGAGAGCCATGAGAACTATGATCTTGTGTGCCTGGATGTCTGGGTACTGTGCTCCATCCAGCAGGGTGGGTGCGGGAGGACTTCCTGAACCTGCTTCCTCTGCTCCAAGAGTTTGGTTGGCAGGGCATCAGGAGGAAAGGAACAGCCTTTCTGGGGAAGTCATTCGTGGGCTGCCCTTTAGGAATGGCCAGCTCTCCAACACTAGAGAGACAAAGCCAGGTAGATCCTGGGGCTCACGGGTCCACCATGTTAGCCTTGACTGGTAAGCTTTAAACCAGTGGTTTTCAACCCTCCTGATATGGTGACCCTTTCATACTCATGTTGTGACTCCCAACTATAAAATTATTTTTGTTGCTACTTCATGATTGCAGTTTTGCTACTGTTAGGAATTGTAATATAAATATCTGTGTTTTCCAGTGGTCTTAGACAACTCCTGTGAAAGGATCACTGAACTCCCAAAGGGGTCAAGACCCACAGGTTGAGAACCACTGTTCTTAGCTATTGAGAGACCCTATCTTAAAATAATGTGGACAGTATTCAGGAATAACACCAGATTGTCCTGAGGCCTCCACATGCACACGCATTCATACGTACCCATACACTCATGTGCTTGCGCACACATGTGCACACGCACACAGGATCTCAGAGCTGTCGGGAGATGTGCAAAGTGTCGACCAGAGTGTTAGGTATTTGGAGGTGAGGATAGTTTGGAAAGTACATCAGTAGACCTCAGAGCTGCATGGCCCCCCGGGGAAAGAGAGAAAAGAGCCATCCAATATCAGAGCCATCCTGACGGAGAGGCCAGCAAGGCCCTCCCAGGTGGAGCAGCATAAGGGGTGCAGCAGGCAGGGGTGAGGCCAGAGCATAGAGACGAGAAGTAGGCTTTGATTCCTGAAGCCGGGGCAGCCTCCCAGTCTCAGCTGCCTTGCCGGGATCTCTAGCCATCCCCTGAGGGAAATACAGTCAGCAAAGGGAGTCCTGGTCAGTGGCCACCTCTTCTCTCCTGAAAGGGCCTGGTGAGTGCTTGACAACTCAGCTGCTTCCAGGGGCTCTAGAGTTCTTTCTTCTTCCTGGGTGAAACCCTAACTGGGTTTTAGCAGCTGGGAGTGGTTGCATGGCTCTCCCCTGCACTACACACACACACACACACACACACACACACGCACAAGCAAGCACACACACATGCACACCTTTTCAGCAGTGGGCAGGTTATCATGTGCAGCCTATTCCATCCTGACTCATCTCCTTTGCCCTCCTCTACATCCAGAGCTGCTGGAACTGCGGGCGCAAGGCCAGCGAGACCTGCAGCGGCTGTAATGCAGCCCGCTACTGTGGGTCCTTCTGTCAGCACAAGGACTGGGAGAAGCACCATCATGTATGCGGCCAGAGTCTGCAGGGCCCCGCAGCTGCAGTGGCTGACCCACTGCCTGGACAGCCTGATGCCACTGCCAGCCCTAGCGAAGCCGGCTCAGCAGGGCCCTCTCGCCCCTGCTCTCCGGGCCCACCAGGCCCACTGGACGCTGCCGTGCCCCGCTGACCTCCAGATCGGACGCCCAGCCCATGGACACCATGCCCTGCCAACCTCCTGGCCCCACCTTGGCCCACCAGATGCCTGGAGCTGGCCAGGTGGAGTCACTGCTGCTACTGCTTCTCTCCAAAAGAAAACACAGATCCAACGAAACTGCATCCGTGCAGCCTCAGCTACCTGACGAGGTCTTGCCGGGACCTCCTACAGCCTCTCTTCACAAGCATCCTCAGATACCAGTGCGGAGCTGCAGACAGTGGCACCGGCGGAGCGTGGCCGGCTCTGCCACCGTCTGTCCCCTCTGTGTCTGTCTCTCTGTTATTGTCTGTCTTTCTGTGTCTGGTCTCCCTCTGTTTCCCTGCCCTGACTCTCCCTGGATCTGATCCTCTCTGTCTGTGTAAAAGCCCGCGTACTTTCTCTGTAATCAGAGAAACCTAATCGGTGGCTTTATTTTCAGTGAAGAACTTTTGGAGATTTTGTTTTGTTTTGTTGGCAAACAAGCTACTTAAAAATGGACAAAGAACTGTGGGGTTCTCCCCATTCCTTATTAGAAAAGGAAGAAACTGTGATTTTTTTTCTAGCTGGAGTTGCTGCCTCACCCAGCCAACCCCAGGGGGATCGGCGTGTGCAGCAGAGACGGTGAGAACAATTTCAATTTCCAACTCAAGAAGCATTTTTTGGTTTCAGGTTTTATTTCTTTTCTTTAATGTCAAACTCTTTGGCTTTAAGTGAAAAAAAAAAAAACCCAAAAAGTTTTTTTTTTTTAAGCAAAGGAAACATACCTGTAAACTACCTTGCCAGCTAGCCAGCCAAGGATGCCAGACACACCTCGCTCCAAAGGAAATCCAAAAAGCAAACTCAAGAAATCAAAATCAAAAATTTATTTTTATCACTGCCAAAGTATTTTTTCATTGTCTTTCATTCCTGGGTTTGTTTGGATGTCGGTCTTTTATTTTGGCTTTGATTTTGTCAGGGGTGTTGGGTCTCTGGGATTTGATGGGTTGGGCCAAGAAGAAACGTTTTGTTCCTTTTTGACTAGTGGGCAGCATCCTTGCTGGGCAAAGGGGTCAGCAGCAAGGCCACATGACCCTCAGCACCATATCTAGAAGCCCCAGTCAGCATGAGCCTGAGCGTTGTGTGCCCTCAGGCCCTGTCCGTCCGTGCGTCCCTGTACGCAAGGGAGACACCTCCATCTCTGTCCTCACACCTTCTGTGACTTCGCATAGTTCATTTTCCACTTGTGGAAAAAAAAAGTGCTAGTGTTCTTCCCAGAGAGAGCACAATTCCTAAACGAAACTGTGACAATCTTTTGGTTTGATTCTTGACTGCTTTTGAAAGCATAAGGTGACAGCGAATCACGCTTTCTTGGTTTTCCCTCCTCTACCTCTCTGCCCTCCCATCCCCACCCCACCCCCACCTACACCTCAGTCTTATTTCCCCATCCCCAGTGTCTTGCTGTGGCTACCGTCGTTTCTTCAAACTTTTACAGAAAAAAAAAAAAAAGAAAAAAAAAAAACAACAAAACAAAACACAAAAGCCAGCAGCCACCCTCACCTCACCTGGAAGACTCAAGCCCAGCTGTACATATCCCAGTGTTCCAACCCCCGTGTTCGTCTCCAGCCCCGGGAGTGATGCCCACCTGTGCTCCAGCCCTCGCCCGCCTTGCCCTGCCCTGCCCTCCACCCGCTCGACTTCCCTCAAGGATTCAAGGAGGAAATGAAGGAAGGAAGCTCATGCCTGTACCAAACAGAAAGACAGCAGACACAGTCCGGGTCTGCACCTATGTGTGTGGCTGCAGTAAGCTGCAGGCCTAGCGTGCAATATGGGGGAATTGCTCCTGAACCCTGGGCCTGGGGGGCCCTGCCCAGAGCAAGGTGTGCAGCATGTGTTAATGTGAATGTAAATAGTCTCCACAGAGGTCCTAACCGCGGCATCAGTACCGAGGAGACGTTTGCCAAATAAAAAGAAATTAAGACAAACCACGGAAGTATGTGAAATTTAGGAAACACTTTGGAAGGAATCTGAGCTGTGGTCCTGTGGGCTTGTTTGGTGGCTGGTCTTTCTTCACAACTATAAAAGTCACTCTTTAAGAGAACATTGCATGGAAGGATCCTGTTAGGTACCATCAACCTGGTGCTACCCCGAATGGAGCCTGACAGCAGCTCTCGCTCCGAAGGCCAAGGTAGAGCTCATCCTCTGGAAGGTTCCTAAGGCCACAGCCCTCCAGGCCCACAGAGATGTCTTTTTGTGGGTTTCAGAAAAGCCAGGACACATGGCGGCCTTCTGCCCTTCCTTCTAGTGGACCAGTTGACCTGAGCATCTGCCTGTGAACACTGAGTCTGTGCTGGCAGAGACCCACCTGCCATCGAAGGAAGCATCGCTGGATTCCATTCCCAGCTGCGCCTCATGCAGGGCTGCTTGTCTCTGTTACCCCACAGCATGCAGCGTCCTTGGCCCTTGCAGGAGAGCAGGCCGGTGGCCATTCATAGGGAAAAGCTCTGGGTGGCAGGGGTGGTGAGCGCCGTGTTTGTGGGGGAAAATAAAGCTAGGCCCTCAGGTTGTGCTTAAGAGCTGGAGTCTCTAGAGGTCTGGGCCAGGAGTCCTGGGGTGGCTTCCCTGATGACCCATGTCCCTGGTGTCAGGACTTGAGAGTGTCTGTTCCCATATATGTAGGTCCCAGAGGGTTCCCTTACCTGAAGGCCCGCCAATTTGCTTTCGCTTCACATACCTGCTCAGCTACCTATACCACCCTTATCTACCTTTTCGGAACAAGAAGGCCCACCAGGGACAACAAAATGCTGCCCAGCCAAATTGGCCTCCACGAACCAGGTTACATATTTAGGGTTCAGCACAGTCCCCCCCTACACCCTAGCTGTTGGAAGGGATAGCACCCCCAAGACAGCTATCAGATGCCATTCGACCACAGTGAGTCCCTTGTGCATGACATTTGGCTGGCAACTGTGGACACCCATGGTGAGGTGCTGGCCAGCTGATAGAAAGAGCTCAGCCGTCAAGGCAACTACAGAATCAGGATGGCAGTTAAGGTGGGGGTAGGAAGGGGTAAGTGAGGAAACGGGACTGGAAACAGCCGCAGGGAACTCTGGGTGGACGTCAGCCGTGTCACTTGAGGCAAGGGGTGGGGTGGGGGCCCTGAAAAAGCTGCAGGTGCTGTGCTCAGCTTCAGCCACCAAAAGACCTCACAGCAGAACCAGACAACCTCAGAGCTTTGGGAAGGATGGGGTCCATGGGTGTTCTTTGTTGGGAGGTGTACCCTGGGTGGCCATAACCATGGCATGCTCTTGGTTTCAACCTCCAGTCTGCCTGGGGCTCTACGCAGAGCTGGAGGAAGGTGATACCCCATCCCTGACTTCTGCTGAGAGCCCCTCCTGCTACCTTCTCCAGCTCACAAACCATGGACCCAAGAGCAACCGCCACGTCCTGCCTCCTGGTAGCCACAGACAAACATGAACCAAACCCCTACAGGATGTGGCTCTCACAGAGCCTTGCTCCCCAAAACCCCAAATCAAAATGCAACTTTGCTTCCTGTTCTGAGGCCAAAGCTAAACCAGGAAGGCTGAGTGGGGAGGGCAGGTGGCAGGCGGAACTCTCTGACCCCCAAGGCCCAGCCCAGATCCTGTCCCATGACCTTATGACTTCTTGCCATGTGTCCTTCTACCTCTGCCACCCCTCCTCTCATCTCCTTGCCCATCTCTGCCCCAGACTCAAGAGTGGCCTTTCTCCAGTCTGCTGCCTAAGGGCACCTTTCCAGCTCAGTCCTCAGACCTGCATGGGAACAGAGGCCAATGGCTCTCATTCTGCATATGGTCACAAGTGTATAGGAGCAGGCTGGATTATACCAAGCCTAGGTCCTATTGCCTGATGGGTGCCACGGTGAGAAGAGCCAGCCCCAGCAGGGACACCTGTAAGCAGACCTGAAAAGGTCACTGGTGATGGAGAAGGACAGAATAGGAGGCAGGGCCATGGGCAGTGCTCTCAAGGCCACAGTGGACAGGGATCAGGATGGGCTCCAAAGTTCTTAGTTTTTCCAAATAAATCCTTAGGCTGACACCAAAGTATCATCTCTGGCATCTGTCTATCCATTGCTCTGCTCCTCAGCCTAATCACACTGGTAGACTGACACTTTCCTGAGTTCGCCCTTCTGACTTAGCCAGCCATCTTTCCGTGAACCCATCCACCTCCACCTATTCATCGTCCTCCACCTGCCCTCTCAAGTAACTACACCATTATCTACCTTGACCCACCTGCCTCACCGCCTCTCCTCCATCCACCTGCCCACGCCACCCCAACATACCATCCTTGTGTCTGGATTTCTCACAGTCACACCACACAGCCATCCCTAGATCCATCCTTCCTGTCGTCTCTCTACCCACTGTCCTCAGAGTAATTTCAGCTCCCTCAGTGTACCAAAGACACTAGGTCCCCTACGCCCTCCGTTCTACTTGCCCTGGACTGACCAGGAGTGCCCTAAGAATACCCACCCATGAGGCAACAGCCCCTTGGTGCTCTGCCCTACCCTGGCCTGCTTTAGACACCTCCAGATATATGAATTCCGACCACAGGCATTGTGGAAATATTGGACAAGTTTTTGTGACACATCTGGACCTGCTTGGGGAGAGGAGGAGTCAAGATTGTGTGCCGAGAGAAGGGCTATACACTTGCTCAGGAGCTCTGGGATGCTATGTTAGGGAACCACATTCCCCAAAAGCAGGGGTAGTCCTTGATTCCAGGAGTCGGCCCAGAAGAGGGAGCTCTAAAGAGGAGAGTGAGCTGATGCTGGCTTCCCTTGAGACTAGCACTCCTAGGATCCTGTTCATCAGCACACTTGGGTACCAGTTCCATCTTCTCAGTTAGAATCCCAGGTAGCTCAGAGTTGAACCTGTCCAGTCTGCCCCTACTGGATCCCCCAATGGTAGGAGGAATTTGTTAGGTGCTTGGGGCTGTCCACAGCCTCCCCTCATAGCTCACTGCTCTTCCTGAAGCCCCTACCATGTAGAGAAGTTTCTTTTTTTTCCAGTGGGGTGGAGGAGAAAGAAAAAAAAAGGGAGAGAGGCAGAAGCTGCCTCTTAAGAAGAAGGACAGTCCAGTCAGCTAGAGAAGTTTCTGGAATGATCCTGGGGAGAGACCCTTGAGTTACCACCATGTTGGCAAGAAGATAGAGAAACTTCAGGTGAGCTGTGCTCAGAGGAACTATCGGCTCCTGTAGACAGCTCACAGACAAAGCTCGTGACAGTCTGTCAACCACGTGAACAAGTCCCCAAATTCTAGAAAACTCTATCTTGTTTTCATTCCTTTTCTTTCAACTCAACTGGCCCTGAAGGTAGCAGCCCAGACAACAGGGATACAGGAATGTGGCATCTGACTCAAAGTGCGTCCTGCTCACCACATCCTCAAAGGAACAACCCCTGCTCCCACCCAGACAAGGCCCAGCAGCCCTCAGCTCACACCATTTCTGGGGTGGGCCAAGGGTTGGGCCCAGAGCGCAGCCACACACAGCCTGCTGGGGGAACCATTGCTGTTCCGTTTCTTTTCTTCCTGCAGGAGCTAGGAGGAGAGGACTGGATGTTTTCCTCACGAAAAGCCGTGGTCCACAGCCCTCCGTGTCAGGGTGCCACGTCATGGTCCACAGCCCTCCATGTCAGGGTGCCGCGTCATACCACCCACCGCTGTCTTCTGCTGTCCTGTATGTTTGCCCTGTGGGCCATGGACATGATGATCAGGTTAATTACATCTGTGTAATAAAGTGAGCATTTGCTATGACGGCTTGCTGCTCCTCCAGACCGTTGCGCACACACGATAACCGTGTTTGAAAGACCTGATGTATAGACCAGGGCAGACGTGGTGTTCAGCTGTACCAGAGAAGACTAGGGGTGGACAAAGGAAGGGACCTTCAGCTCCATGTGCTATATTCTTGGAAGGCTGGGCTTTAGGGAGTTCTGGAAAATCTTGGACCTCAAAAATGACCCTAAGAGTTTCAAGGGCCTGACATATATAGACATAT